TACGGTGTTTTGAGAGTCACCTAAAGCAAACAGAACTTGAGTAACGCATACGGTTATTTTTTTATAGTTTTTCATTTCTTGATGCGTCCTTAATGTGATGGAATATACCGTGTTTACCCTAGTGGGATTTAATTTTCTTAATGAAAAAAACTTGAAATCAAAATTGGGCAAGGTGGCCAGGGCCCAGTGGGTAAATTTCAGAGTACTAAGGTCTAAGATTAAAGCAGAGGTGTTAGTTTGATCCCAGCTCTGTGTGCCAGTTTCTGGTCAGAATTGGCAAGGAGATGTTCTTCATGCAGTCATGCTGCAGATGTTCTCATTGTTCTCCAATGTTAAGAATCTGTGACAGGCTAATGGCCCAATAAACACTGAAACAGCTAAATTAAAAAATTAAATCAACAAATCAACAATAATTGATACATATCTAGGTCTTGGAAAACAGATATGTTAAAGGTATTCTATAGTTAGCTATAGTTAGTTGGCAAACAAAGGATACACGTGAGGTCAAGATTGAATCCATCTTCAGTAAATCTTCTCTTCTGTTTGGAAACGAGATTCTTTATAGGAGCAAGGCTCATATCTGCACCAAATGAAATTAAGGTCACCTAGGTTAATTGGTAAATCTACTTGATAACACAAGGCTCACAAGCATTAAGCCAATTTTGAAGATAATTCCAATAAGATGTCATAACAATGCTTTGGTATTGTGATTCACTGTATGAGGAAAGACTAGAAAGGTAATTCATACATCATCATACGATGATCATAGATCGGAGAAATTTGCAATCGACCTAGAGGCTAGAGCAATAAGAGTCATGACACATGAAAACACGACAATACTTTGACAGTGCACATTGTTCTCTGACTGCTCAAAATCCGTAATTTTCGCAGTTCTAGTTGATTTAAGGTATTTAGCTATACGCATCTGAAATAGAGTTACCCTAAATTTAATGCTCATGGAATGAAATTCTGTTTCAAGGCTGTAAACGCCCGTGAGAAAATGTACCTTATTATTTGAAATAACGTGATTTTACACAACTGTACCCCAAAAAATCCATACAATTTCAATCAGTTTTTGGTAGCGCATTCACTGAAGAGGACTTGAACCGTATTCCAGCTATTGAGGAGCGGAGGAGTGCCCAGTCGGCTCTAAATTAACAAGTTTTGAAATATAAGACGAAGAGGTTCTCAAGCGCCTGGGCGCTCTAAACTCTAACAAGTCATGTGAATCGGATGGCTTCCACCCCAGATTACTCAAAGAATTAGAAACTGTCTTAGGCGGCCTTTTGACATCATTTTTTCGAAAGTACTTATACCATTAGTCTGCTTATATCGCAAGTTCACAAGGAATTTAAAAGCAAAGAAAACGCCAAGAAAATTCACCATATCGATATTGAAAACGTTTCGGAGTCCAGCTCCATCATCAGTTCGACTAAACTAAAAATGAATAAAATCACTTTAAAAGTCAAAATTCAAAGACTCGCTAGGATTTTATATTCTTGTCGTACCCCTAGGACTAAGTTGTTCATAACTAGTCCTGTTTATTTCGATACAATGTTAGGTCTTGTTTAGGTTTTATGTCTGTCCTTGAATTTTGACTTTTAAAGTGATTTTATTCATTTTTAGTTTAGTCGAACTGATGATGGAGCTGGACTCCGAAACGTTTTCAATATCGATATGGTGAATTTTCTTGGCGTTTTCTTTGCTTTTAAATTTTTTCGAAAAATTTGAACGTATGGATCTAGCCGGCTGACTGGAAAGAAGCTCAAGTGACATCATTGTCCAAAAAACGTGACAAAAGCTTCCCGAGTGTCGCCCCGTCGGTTTGACAAGTGTCGTTTGCAAGGTAATGGAATCTGTTGTCAGGGATCGATTGATCGATCATTTGACTGTTAATAATCTCCTATCATACTATCAACATGGCTTTATTGCCGGTATATCCTGCACCACTAACCTCATGACTACTCTGATTGAATGACCCGCCTGCTGGACGAAAGGAAGCCAGTAGTTGCAGTATACCTCTATTTTACGAAGCATTTGACAGTGTCCCACATGAGCAGCTGTTGCGTATTTTGAAGTCTTTAGGAATTCAAAGTAATTTACTCAAATGGATCAAAGATTTTCAAGAAAGGGAGACGACAACGTGTCAGTTTCGGGAAGAGTTCTCGGGCCTGTTTTATTCGTTGCGTTTATAAACGATCTGCCAGAAGCTGTGTTTAGCGTGTGCTCGATGTATGCTGACGACAGAAAAATTTATAATACAGTGAAGAATACGTCAAAAAAATTGCAATTGCAAGGTGATCTTGACAGGTTAGTGGACTGGGCTGATAAGCGGCAGCTGCGTTTCAATACTGACAAATGGAAAGTAATCCACCTTTGGCCAAACAATGAACAGCAATATTACAGTGTGAGACGACATGGTTGCCACGACAAAATGATGAGTGAAGAAGTCGACAATGGAAAAAGAGGAGTTAATGTTGACATTGAGTTGAATTTTTCTAAGCATATTGAAGCTCAAGTTAATAAAGCCAATAAACGGCTTGGACTGATCAGACGCTCTTTTACGAGTACCTAGATGCAGAAGCGATGAAGCTGTTGTTTATAACATAACATAGGAGTAGGCCTGATGTAGTAGTAGGCCATAAAAAGTAGGCCTGATGTGGCCTGTCACTGATTCTTGAACTTTACGTGACTTGTCACAGAAAATCTAAAATCGTGTCATTTGATCGGATCTTTTCAAGACTGACGATAGTTTGAAATAGCTACTAAACTTCCACTGGGTTCAATATGGTGCTGGGCATTTCAAGTCTGAACATATATTTTCCCATAGCTTTATCTAGTCTGTTCTTGAATGCGTTCATACACATGGGCAGGGTGGCCCAGTGGTTAAAGTTCAGAGTACCAAGATTGACGCACTAGAGAGGTGCGGTTTCGATCCCAGCTCTGTGCGACAGTTTCTGGTCAGAATCGGCAAGGAGCCCGGGCGGTTAAGCACAGCAGAATTGTAGCAGTGCGTTGCGAGTTCGAGACCGCAAAATGCTGTGAATGTTCTGCGATGTTAAGAATCGGCGACGGGTCTACGGCCTAATAAACGCTGAAACAGCTATTATATTATTATTATTATTATTATTATTATTATTATTATTATTATTATTTATTATTATTATTATTGTTCAGTCTTAAAATGCCTAGCAAATTACGGACCAGGCAATAAGTCCAGCATGCAGCTATCTCAATCAATCGTCAGTTATGGAAAGATCGGGTTCCAAAAGCAGGATCCCTTGTGAATCAAGTCACGATAAATTCAAGAATCGGCAACAGGCCATGGGCCTATTTCTTCTATGCCGACACTTCTATTCTATTCTATGTATTTTCATGTTTACGGGGAAATTTTCTTTAAATAACGTAGATGTTGACTGCTGTTGGGAAAGAGCGCAGCGCCGCCTTCAATGGACACATCCAGCACCAGTACGCGTCGGGTTGTCAGAGTTTCATGCATTACTAATTTTGGTTACAAAAAATCTGTTTGCTGTGTGCTCCTGTCAAACTTTAAATTTCTGTGGCAAGTGATGCAAATGCCTCTAAATTTTCACATTTCAGAGGCGTGTTTTACATGTGCAGCCTAACGTTCAAATTTCAGCGGCATGTTTTACCAATGTTACCAAACTTTCAAGTTTTTGCTGCATGTTTCACAAATGACATTTGCATAATTGTTCTTTGCATTTTGAAGGCAACAATTAATGCCTGCGTTACTGTTTTAGACTTAATGACTTTAAAATTTTTGTGAACGCCTCCCGGCCGCGCAAGTTTATCACACCTTCATAATGAGTTAACAAAGAGTCAAAAGACTAAACTAAACATTTTCCAGTAGTTAGAAACCAACTGTTCTCAAGTCGCACAATAATCACCCGAAGAAAACATTCGAGAAAATTTTAAACTGCGCACACGGCGATGATTATATGTATGCCCGTAAAATTCCGAACAAATATAATGTCACATATAACAATAGGTAAGCGCCGTGGATGCAGTACCTACTGTATATATACTAATACTATATAGGTACCAGCATTCTATACTATATATACTAATACTATATACTGGTATTAGAATTCTATTATTATGGTTATCATTTAATTGGAAATTTTATTTTTACACTGCCCTAATAACACTCTTTTAAATCTACCTTAAAATTAGAAAACTTGCATATGTTATTTAATATAACTGCATCACGAGAGATTCACAATCATTTCATATGGAGGAAAGCATTCGCTATCCTCTAATCCCTGAGTTAAATAATAAGTGAACGCTAGCAATTTACATACTCGCATACTGTGAGTATGCAGTGACACCTTTTTGGTGAAAGAACATGAAAGGGATCATATTTTCGGGCTATATGAGCATTGGAGCGGCTATAATGAAGCATTGTTTAGACTATATGCACTGCAAAGCTCAAATATAATAATAATATTCATAATATAGTGGTTTCAGCGTTTATAAGGCCGCAGGCCTGTCGCCGATTCTTAACATCGCAGAGCATTCACAGATTGTTGCGGTCTCGAACTCACAACTCACTGCTCCAATTTTGCTGTGCTTAACCGCCGGCCTCCTCGCCAATTCTGACCAGAAACTGGCGCACAGAGCTGGGATCGAACCCGCACCTCTCTGCTCTACCCCTGGTACTCTGAACTTTTAACTTAAACCACTGGACCAAACAATATGATCTTGATCTTGTCACGCACCCTAGCATAATAGTATTATCAATTAACTCAGCTGTAGCCAAGTATGAACAGCGGACAAAAATATTTTATCAACAAACGGGGCATCACTACATGTATTTACCAAATCCCTAGCACGATAAACTTCCTCGGCTATAGTTAAATTGATGATTTTTTTGGCAAGGCATAGTTTCCAAGTTGGAGGTAATAAGTCAGCCACATTACGCGTCAAAAAATTATGTAAATAGAGTTGGAATAACTTTTTTTAACGTTTATTAGGCCATAGGTCTGTCGCCAATTCTTAACATCGCAGAACATTCACAGCTTGTTACTGTCTCGAACACGGAACTCACTGCTCCAAGTTTGCTTTGATTAACCGCCCGGTCTCCTCGCCGATTCTGACCAGAAACTGGCGCACAGAACTGCGATCGAATTGCTCCTCTCTGCTCCAATCCTGGTACTCTAAACAGTTGTCATCGGGCCACCCTACCCATACCGTTATCGAAAGAGTACTTAAGCCGATTACATTATTATTATAAGTTCAACGATATTGAATGCAACCATGCATGAGCTCAAAATTTATTAACATATTTCACTACATGATCGCTCAAAAGACGCAAACTGCAACATCAGCAGTGGTAGTACAATATTTTCTCGCGTCTCAGAAAAAGCGATCCATCGTGAGTCTAAGGTACAAATTACCACTTTAGTTAAGCCATTTTCTCACGAATTAGTTGCCATTCATGCATCGAAAGTAGAATTTGTAATTCTAAGGTCACCGCAGAAAGCTTTAACTCGGCTTAGTCAGCATGTTAAGTAAAAAAATTATGTTTCAATCGTCAACGCGATTCTAACTCCTTGTCCCTGAGCCACTTATGTATGCCAATGATATAAAGATCTATGCCATATGATTCGGACTCTGAAAATGAGAGGTTTCAATTTTTACATTATGTATGCCATCAATAAATTTGTTGGAAAACGTTATTTTATTGTAGTTCAACTTTAAATAAAAAGTCTTGTGTTTCCCCTATGTCTTTCCTTTTCCGTATGTACATGTTCATATTTCTGCATTTATATGGTTATTTTAGCACCAATAAAATTTTATTAAAGTTTAAGTGTTTATCGTCATGTACAAAGATTCCAATCAAATATATTTAACAAATGACAGTGCTCTGGAATTCTCCGATCATGGAGTTTATGATTAGACATGGCTGACAAAACAACAAAGTGTTTTCAAGGATAATAGACCTTGAACGACTACGATCTTCCTTTACATTTGATGAACTACATGTATGGGGTGGATGAGTAACCATTTAAATAATGAAGAGGAGGAATGTGGACTGTATCAAGCCACGGAGACCGTTGAAACGGAATAAAATCAGTGACGGGATTTACGGCAGGTATAAAAATCATGACATTTTATTTAGATAGTTTTTTGGACTTATAAGGTAACTAGTTCCAACTTCGATTAGAACGGTTTATGAATACAAGTTTGATCTTGTAGGTCTTTTATTTTCCTCTCAATAAGATTTGGTTAAAATAATTGTTCTTTCAGCTTGATGAATTCACAGGAGTTAGCTAGGTAGCTATGTGACCTAGTGTCCACTGTCCAGTGACTTGCACTTGCAGTTATTATGAAAATAAAAGTGATGCATAGCAGCATAACTGCATAAGTATGCTTTACTTGTGGCTATTGACTGATATTTTTCAACTTCTAAACTTGTTTCTTGATTCAGTCTTGTAATTATTTGCAATTGGCAAATGCTATCATGTAAAATTTTGCAAAAATCTTGAATTGTGATCAAGCATAGTCAAGCTAGATTTAGAACTTCATGTCTTTGCTAAAATTCTAAAAGTGAAGATATGAAATTTCCTGCTTAATACTGAAGTATTGCAGCTCTAAAGCCACTATAAATTATCAAACTTTGCACAGTGACAGTGGCTTTAAACCACTATCAATACTAGCTAGCCTAGTCACTAGGTGCAGTAGGATGCACTTTGCAGAGTTTAACAATTTGGTCAATTGTGTCACCAAGATAATTCTCTATTTACTATTTAGGCATTACTCATTAGGAAGTTAGGAGTTGCCAGAACAATCTAAATCTTCAAGTTTCTTGATAAAAATACATGTACCCTAAGCCTAGTCTAATTAGCTTTTTGAAGAGAAATGTTATGTCAAGATCTTTTTCATTGATTTTGATGCTGATGTGTTGCCAAAGACCTTTAGATATTCATATGGGGTAAATGCGGTATATTCCGAGCATAGTGGCAAAGCAGAGAGTTTTTTAGACTCTTCCTCAAGTTCATTTTTGAGTCCTATAAGTAGACCAGTAAAGTATCTTGGATACCAGAATTATCATACATAAGAAATCTGTTAAAATCTTGAGTAAATGAGGAAATTAAAAATGAACTGATTACAAACAATCACTGGTTTGCCATATAACCTCTGCTGCAATAATCCGTTCCCTTAGCTGTGGTAGGGTGTGAGGGCGACTTCTGAACCCCTTTCTTTTAGATGTCCCCAAAGAAAGAAATCGCAAATGCTCTAATCAGGTGACCTCGCAGGCCACTGTAAATTCGGGCTGTGTACAGCTCACACATTCGGGCTGTGTGAGCTGTAGCCCCATCCTGCTAGAACCACACGTCTCCCAATGCTTCATTTTCAACAATGTTTTCCATCATGGGCTGCAAGAAATTTTGCAACATTGCAGCATAGCGATCGGAATTCACTATCACAGTTACTCCCTCCTCCAAGAACGACTCCAACAGTGTGTTGCAGCTAACGGCCCCCATCTTCCAGATATTGTTTTCAAAACATAAGTATTCTAAATGGTATGTTATGCTAACCTCAAGGAAAGTAAACTTTCTTCTTTATGTACCTCCATTACTCTTTTATTTTACCTCAAAACTGCTCAATCGAAAATCCCTAAGTGCTAAACACCACCTTGTCCTGTTGGCCATTATCGAAGGCAATAAGTGCCCTTTTTAGCCATCCATTGTGATCCACATACTGTTATTGTTAGTAGGCTAATTGCAACATAAAAAATAACACTTCAAAAAGACAAAAAAGTTGAAAAAATCAAAAAAATCAAATAAATCAAAACTTGAAAAAATCAAAAAAATCATTGATTTTTTATTTTTTTGATTTTTTTAAAAAAATCAAAAAAATCACCAACCCTGCAAATGTATGACGTCACCATTTCAACCATCAACAAACGCATGGAACTAAAACAAAGCTTAATATAAAGGAAAAACTAGAGAGGTGACGGAATTACCTACGATGTCGGAATATACCGCGTTTACCCTGCTCACTAAGTCACTACACGTTGGCTTCAAAGTGACACAAATTCAACAACTTTTTAATCTTGCAGCCAGTTTTTGTACTTTTCTTTATTAAAAAAAAATTCTTCTTGTGCCAAACTGGAAGCGGGAGGATAGAGAAAAGCCCCCTTAAATTAAGTCAGGCTTCAATGAGGTAGAGATGCCCTTGATGTGGAGAAATTTATCTGTTCTTATGGCCCTTTCTAAATTTTTTCACTTAATGATAATAAAACTTTCTATTTTTATCTGTAATCTATGAAAATTACCTGTGAAAGAATAATTTTCAAATTCTAATGGATCAATGAGTTTTAAGCCCTACTATTTCTATTAGGCAAAATATTTTCTAGTTTTTTTAATAGAACTTCATGATTGTGCTGGAAAATCTTAAGCTTGATCAAATTATGTAACTGAAGTTGTAATTTTTTATTGGTAATAATTAGATTTTCTAAATTTTCAGGATAACTTTTTGCTAAATTTCCAACTTTTTTCTGCACCTTGAGATCTGTCAGAAGAGTATTACATGGATAAACTAAGATAAAAAGAGAATGCCCAAGTATAATTTGATGCTTCTTTGCAAAAACCTATCTTGCAAAATTAGAAATTATGTTGTGCTCTTTAACCAAAATCATTTTGATTTGAAAAAATGCATAGAAAAATAATCATTAGTGAAACTTTTGGTTTTCTGTATAGAACTTTACAAAAAATATGTACTAAAGGCATTGAAAGAAGAATTACATTATTATATGTTTGACTGGTGAATGATTCTTGTCTACATTTCTCCAGATCAATAATTTTTTGGCTCCTATAATTATATAAAGTATGGTACAAGGTATAAATTATTTAACAAGATGTGCCTCCAAATATTCTATTTGTTTTAATATTCGAGCTAGCTTCAAGAAATAGATCCCAAGGTATCTTCTTGTAGAAAGAGAAAGCAGTTATAAATTCATTGAAGTATGGATGTTTTTAACCTTACAGTAGTGTGGTGTACATCAAGTTTGTGCTGATATGGCTGCTGGTGTTGGCTGCCGACTACCTCACAGATTTCCGCTTTGAGTATCTGTGGCCCTTCTGGCTCTTGCTTCGCAGCGTCTACGATTCCTTCCGCTACCAAGGCCTTGTAAGTCATTTAATGTTGCTTTTATTTATTTATGATTCTACATGTAATGGGGGCCGTTGGGTATCTGTGGCCCTTCTGGCTCTTGCTTCGCAGCGTCTACGATTCCTTCCGCTACCAAGGCCTTGTAAGTCATTTAATGTTGCTTTTATTCACTTACGATTCTACATGTAATGGGGGCCTAACTAGCATAATTGATTGAACTTAAAGCCTAACTAGCTCCTGAAATTGATGGATTATGGATTTATCTCATTATGTCCTTGTAGAATAAGCCCCACTAAAAAATGCAACAAGATTTTTCTTCAGTTAAAAAGATGAAATATTTATGCTTTGTTTGAAAATATGTTATATCTGCAATTCCAATCAAACATTCCTGAAACATTTTAGATTTTTTTTTCTTGCTCCAAACACTGTGTGTGTTCATAGAAATTTATGTTATCTAGTTTTTCTTTATTGCTGTGAAATGGATTGACCTGACCCATGATTTAAGAGCAATATTATTCTAAATAGTGATGATGCTTTGCCAATAGTTTTAATTTTCATTTTATATGTGTTGTTAATTTAACCCAGTGGTTCCCAAAGTGGGTGGCACCACCTTGGGGTTGGTGGTAAGATCTACGTGGGGGGGGATTGAGGTTCAAAGCTTGGGGTCGCTGGAAAGATCTGGGGGGGGAGGAGGGGCTTTGAGGTTCAAATTACAGCATAACAAATAGCAAGAAAGAGGGGTTTCTTTCCATATGCGTTTGTGGGGGCAAGATAGAAATTTACTGGGGAGCCAAGGGGGTGCCAGCCTGCAAAAGTTTGGGAACCACTGCTTTAACTCTTTATGTAGTGATGGGACGTTGCTGTCCCAGGCCTTTGTGTATGAATAGCATTGAACTACAGGAAATATATGCATAGGCAAAGGGTTAAGAGTTTTAAGATTACTTTCTTATACTCGTGTCATGACCTTGTATCTTATATAAACTAATGAATAGCATTGATTACAGGAAATATATGCATAGGCACAGGGTTAAGAGTTTTAAGATTACATTCTTATAATACAGGAAATATATGCATATGCAAAGGGTTAAGAGTTTTAAGATTGCTTTCTTATAATACAGGAAATATATGCATATGCAAAGGGTTAAGGGTTTTAAGATTGCTTTCTTATACTCATGTCATGACCTTGTATCTTATATATACTATTTCTCCATGCAGGCATTCTGCATTCTGTTCTTATGCATGGCCGTGACTGCAGACATGGTGGCCATTGTGTTTATTCCAGCCTCATGGCTGTTCTTTGCTGCTTCCACTTATGTGTGGGTGCAGTTTGTATGGCACACAGGTCAGTGTTTTGATTTAGGCTCTTTAAGGGGTTTGTTATAACTTCTTTAGATTCATTTAGTTAGGCCTATATTGTTGAACACACTTTTGTTTCTTGACAATATTGGTGATTGTTATTTGCAAATCCAAATCCTTTTGTGAAACTAGACAAAGAGTGACACATTCTTTGAGTTGTGTAAATATTGGCTACATATCTCATTTAAAAATGAAATGATGGAAAATGTTTCATTGTATCTTAGTATCCCATTCAGAACTGTAACATGTGAGTTGGGGAAATTGCGTCATGAGAGAAGCTCATTTTATACAACAATCTTGAATAAGATTGCTTTATGCAATCTTATTTACAATTGCTTATAAGTAAATTAGATAAGAAGTAAATGAGACAAGATATAAGCGGCTTAAACAAGGAAATAAGATTGCCAGTTATGTCACTCAATAACCATTATTTTTACTTCTTACTTATAGTGTTGGAAGAAGTGTAGGCAATTGTGAATAATCAATTATATATCAAACTTTGTGTCTGTTTTTGAAACTTGGTATGTGAAGGGATATCAAGGCATAAATCTACAAACTAGTATACACTCTTGACATACAAACCTATATACACTCTTGAGTCTTGATATATATATATATATACCTATATATACTCACTTATTTACTCTCTTTCTTTCAATAAACATTGGAATTGATGTAGAGTTTTGGATAAAAAAATGTAATTAGGATTTATTTTTCTGTGATTCTAAAGCATTTTTGAAAGTAACAAGTTGAAGTTTGTATTAAACGTATAAAACAGGCTTCAAAAAATGTTGTCTGCTAAATATGAGTTTGCATTTGAATCACTATCACTCTACTGCTGCAAAAAAAAAAAAAAAAAAAAAAAACATGGACAGGTCCTCTATGAAAATAGTACAGATTATTTAGAAAATATATTTGAACAAGTGCAGAATATATAATTTAAATTATTTACCAGTAGATGGGAAAAGTAACAATGACCCAACAGTTTTTCATATTTCGCTCAACGTGTTACTTTATTTGAGTTTTAAAATTAACCTAATTTGGAATGAATGTATTCACACCTACTTACTTTCAACTAAATATTGTGTAAAGTTTTTAACTTTGAAAAGTTGAGTTTATATGCCATTAAACACCTGTCAATTTCTCTGTAGAGTGTACAGGCATTTATGTTTATCTTGAGCCCAAGAATTAAATAGTATGTTTATATGCCATTAAACACCCGCCAATTTCTCTGTAGAGTGTACAGGCATTAATGTTTCTCTTGAGCCCAAGAATTAAATAGTATGTTTCTGTGCAGAGAAAGGGGTCTGCATGCCCACAATTGTGCTGTGGGCAGTTTTTATCTACATTGAGGCAATTGTACGCCTCAAAGAAGTTAAGAACGTCCCCTTCCATCTGGACCTCTGTAGACCTTTTGCAGCACACTGGTGAGAACATGGTTGTTGTATGGAACTCTGTAGACCTTTTGCGGCACACTGGTGAGAACACGGTTGTTGTATGGAACTCTGTAGACCTTTTGCGGCACACTGGTGAGAACACTGTTGTTGTATGGAAATCTGTAGTCATTTGCAGCACACTGGTGATAGTTAAACATTGCTCAGTGCTAGGAAGTCGAAAGAACTTCATTTACTGAATTTTTTCTGTTGTGAGTTCATACATCAGTCTAAAAAATATGCCTGTACTATTCTCAAATAGTGAAGTAAACAAAGTAATCATAGAATTTATTTCATGTAAACATGGATGCAAATCCCATTTAAGAAACTTTGTGTGCTCTTAGGTATTTACAGTAAATTATTCTTGAATTTTAACAGCATTTTGCTTCAAAAGTAAGTAATTTTATTGTGGATAATATTCAAGTGCAAGTATGATGTATGGTTTGTGTTTTTATTATACATGAAGTTATTGTTGCATGACATCAATTGTGTTTGGGCTTATGACGTCCTGTGATGTGCAGTATTGGTTACCCGGTGGTGACGCTGGGCTTTGGGCTCAAGAGCTACGTCGGCTATAGACTAAGACTTGTAAGTATAGACTAAGACTTGTGAGTATAGACTAAGACTAGTGAGTATAGACTAAGACTTGTGAGTATGCAGCTCCTAGTGCTGTTCTCATGCTTCATATTATTCATAAGATATATTCCAATTATTTTCAACTATTCCATTTTGTTTTCATAGAACATTTTACTTATGAAAAATATTGCAATTGTTTTCTGTTAGGTACTTCAATTAGTTTGTATGGTAAATTTTATTTCTATGAAAGGTTCCAGTTGCCTCAAGCTGATTCTGTTAATTCTCTTCGTACCTTATATGGTTAAGAAAGGTTTCAATTATCATCTCTTGTTTCATTTAATTCTTATTTATTTAGAAATTTTCCAATTGTGTTGCACTGGTGCTGTCAATTCTCTTAGTAACTTCCAATGTTGGGAAAATGTACCATTATCTTCTGCTTATGGCAGAGTTATTATTATTATTATTATTAGCAGTTATTATTATTAATATTTATTTAGTTAGTATTATTTTTATTATTTATTGAATTAGTTCTCATGATACCTTTTAATGTTAAAATGTTGCACTATCTAAACCAAAGCAGTTAGGTGATGTCTGCACTTCATTGATAATAATGTCACTAGATTGCTTGAATCCCACATTCACTAAAAATTTAAAAGCAAAGAAGACGCCACAAAAATTCAGCATTTCTCTATTGAAAACGTTTCGGCGACCTGGGCCTATACTTTCAAAAAAAGTTAAGAGATCGTAAGTTCATCAGCCAATCATTGACGGCCTTTCAAGCCAAATCCACCAATCATAGACAAGAAAATATAGCGTAAGTACTTACGTTCACTTAATCATAGACAAGAAAATAGAGCGTAAGTACTTGCGTTCACTTAGTGAGTTTTGAAAGTATGGCCCCAGCTCCATCGTCAGTTTGATAAATCTAGAACACAAATACAGTCAAAAAATTAATAAATTTTCCAGTCATAAGGTGATGATTGATATAATATAAGTCATTGATATAAGTTGATAAGTCATTGATAAGTTGATGTGTTCTCTCCTGCAGCGGAAGCAGCACGAAGTGGCCAGGGAAAATGAATTTTACGTGCAGCTTCTGCAAGATGCGTTGCCGCCTGAACTGCAGCACATTAAAAATATGAACACTGCGGCAGCGCAAGCAGCGGGTGAGTGACTTATTTTTTTTTTTAAATATGCCAGTATTATTCTCAAATATTAAATTTTTTTTAAATATGCCAGTATTATTCTCATATAGTAAAGTAAACAAAGTAATCATAAGAATTTATTTTATCTAAACATGGATGCAAATCCCATCTAAAGAAACTTTGTGTGAGCACTCTTAGGTATTTGCTGTAAGTTATTCGTGAATTTTAAGTTATTACTAATTATTTAATAAATTTATTGATGCTGTGCTTCTGCTGTTAATTATTCAAATGCATGATAATAAGTATAATACTATGTTAGAAGCAGCATCCAATGAGTGCTTATTTTTATATAAAAAATGGTTCAATTGTTAATTCATTGTTTTGCCATTCAATTTCAAGTAGCTGAAAATAGCTTTTTGGCTTCATGTAAATAAAGATGTATTGATTTAATTTGTCACTTTTATCCAGTATTGTTGTATGCGTTTTTTCCATGATAGTGTTTAGGTTTAAATGATGAGTTAGTAGCTTGCTATTGAGATGTGATGATTAAATTATGTCCTGTGTTGCTAAGTATGTTTTTGTTCCACAGCAGCCGTCGTTAAAGAATTCGAGGAGAATGATTTAGGCGAGTCTGACAGCAACAGTCCAGTCTCAACATCGGAAGCAGGTGTGATTTACTATCTTTTTTTTTGCAGGATACATTATGCCATTTGCTAACTCAAAAGCCTCTATTACTTCCATGTATTTTTTAGCGCATTTTCTCATTTATGGAAAAAAATGCACTATTGTGCATTTTGCCATGTCCGTCCGTCTGTCTGTCCGTCCGTGACTTCATGTTTTCGTCGACGAGAAAATGCGCTCTCTGTCACTCACTGCAGTGAGTACTGAGTTTCATTTTTTTGTGAGTGTGATTAGATTTGTTAAAAAATATAGATTTTTCCCTCCACTGTTTTTAGAATGGATTTACTTGTGATAGAAATAAGAAAATATGCGAGGTATAACCTAGAAATGAAATACCCTGTTATCAACAGAATTACATTGTTTCATAGCTGAGTGGTTTGGTACTGAAGTATAAAAATGTCTTTGGATTTAAGTGATCCTATAACAAATTTGATAATATAACATTCAAAGTGTGTTTTGTTTTGAACAATAAGAATAAATTTAATTCAATATTATCATGATTACAGCAGTACAAGCAGTACACAGGATTAAAGTGATCCTATAATAAATTTAATAATATAACATTTAGAGTGTGTTTTGTTGCTGAATAAAGGCAATACCCTGCTGTTAACAATAATATTATTTATAATTAAATAATATTATAATATTATTTAATACAATAATATTATTAACAATAATATTATTATATATTATAATAATAATAATTATTATTATTTATTATTTAAGAGCTTGGAGTGCCGCTGTACTAACTATTGTTTTGCCGTGTCTCTCCTCCCTGGTGGTGTGGTTACGGTTGCTGCCTATCTACCTTCCACCTGCTCCTCAACCACGGCTACTACTACTACTACAGCATCTGGTGGTGGTGGTAGAGGCAACCATCAGAGATTAACCTCCAACTCTGCCACCTTAACAACCATCACCACCACCTCTTCAACCACAACAACCTGTAGGAGTAACACCACCAACAGCTGGTCACGAGACTATGCTGCATCGTTTACTTTCTTTTCGTTCTTTAGTAAATTAAGAAGAGGTGGTGGTGGTGGTGATGATGGTGCAGGTGGTGGTGGTGATGGTGGTGGTGGTTCTAGTAAAACTAACTCCACTGCTGCTGCTGCGGCTGCTGCTGCTGCGGCTGCTGCTGCGGCTGCTGCTGCTGCGGCTGCTGCTGCTGCTGCTGCGGCTCCTCAGCAGCGCGCTAAGGCCGTTAGCTGGTGGAAAAGCTGGCTTAGTAAACCTGACGCTATTTATAAGAATGGTGAGCTGTGCTTAGTAAACCTGACGCTATTTATAAGAATGGTGAGCTGTGCTTAGTAAACCTGACGCTATTTATAAGAATGGTGAGCTGTGCTTAGTAAATTTGATGCTATTTATAAGATATGGTGAGCTGTGCTTAGTAAACCTGACGCTATTTATAAGAATGGTGAGCTGTGCTTAGTAAACCTGATGTTGTCACTATAAAAGTATGTCACGAATTGATGTATGCTGATAATATTCATTATCATCGCACTGATCTTTATTGCATTCTTATCCATTATTTTGAAAGAGTTGCTTGCTAAAACACAATAAGCTAAAGGGTGTTGGGAGTTGGTTTTTACGAGTATGTTATTATGTTTGTGTGATTATCTAGCACAGTGAATGCATCTAATTAACACGATATCAGTTCTTGTGTTTTAAGTTGTACCCTCACATTGATTTTTTTAACAAAAAATTAAATGAAATCAATATGAAAATAAGTACCCACTTATTACTTTCACAACCTATTGCTTGAGTTATGGTCTCCAAATTCATATTTTTTTACTGGACTGACATTATTATCTTGCACAGTAATTTTAAATTAATCCGAATTCTCGATAGATTATACCGTTTGAATTACCATGGATTGCCTTATTGTGCAGGTGCAAACCATGCCCTCAACAGCTGCATATCCAACAACGTGAGCAGCAGTAGTACAAGTAGCAGCTGCAGCAGTAGCAGCAGCAGCAGCAGCAGTAGTAGCAGCAGCAGTTGTAGCAATAAGGGGCGAGCTAGCAGCAACAACAATAGGGTGTCGGATAAGGATAACACCCAGACCGTGTCCGCCCCTAATGGGTCTGCCGTCGGGCAGCCTTCCTCTTCCTCCACCGGCAGCAGCAACAAGCCCTCTAAAGTTCCCCACTATAACAGCCTGCATGCTCAACTTGAGTACATGCAGAAGCAGGGGTAAGTCAAGGGGTTGTGTCATTTTGTGCTCAACTTGAGTACATGCAGAAGCAGGGGTAAGTCAAGGGGTTGTGTCGTTTTGTGCTCAACTTGAGTACATGCAGAAGCAGGGGTAAGTCAAGGGGTTGTGTCGTTTTGTGCTCAACTTGAGTACATGCAGAAGCAGGGGTAAGTCAAGGGGTTGTGTCATTTTGTGCTCAACTTGAGTACATGCAGAAGCAGGGGTAAGTCAAGGGGTTGTGTCGTTTTGTGCTCAACTTGAGTACATGCAGAAGCAGGGGTAAGTCAAGGGGTTGTGTCATTTTGTGCTCAACTTGAGTACATGCAGAAGCAGGGGTAAGTCAAGGGGTTNCCGTTTTAATAGTTAGTTGTGTTGCAGGAACGTGTCTCCGCGCTACAGTTTCCGTTTTAATAGTTTGTTGTGTTGCAGGAACGTGTCTCCACGCTACAGTTTCCGTTTTAATAGTTTGTTGTGTTGCAGGAACGTGTCTCCGCGCTACAGTTTCCGTTTTAATAGTTTGTTGTATTGCAGGAACGTGTCTTCACACTACAGTTTCCGTTTAATAGTTTGTTGTGTTGCAGGAACGTGTCTTCACACTACAGTTTCCGTTTAATAGTTTGTTGTGTTGCAGGAACGTGTCTCCACACTACAGTTTCCGTTTTAATAGTTTGTTGTGTTGCAGGAACATGTCTTTGCGCTACAGTTTCCGTTTTAATAGTTTTATGTGTTGCAGGAACGTGTCTCCACGCTCAGTGAACACCTACAATGAGAGCTCCGCTGATCAGGACAAGACTGAGAAGTCCACTACGACTGCCCCAGTGGCCGCTGACCCCGAGAAGCCCAAAAACAAGTCTAACGCTGGCCTCAACGCCCACCAGGTGAGGAACTTCTTATTTATTTCATGGTAGCCTTATACACTTATACACTTATAAAATGAACTTGTTATATATTGTGTAAATAATGACCCATGAATTTGTTATATATTGTGTAAATTGTGACCCACTTCCTTACGCACAGTACAAACAGAACCCCGACAAAACATTGATACAACCTTTTGCCAGGCATAACTGGGTCGGGATGATACAAGGAAATAGTATATCGTTATTTTGACGAATTCTCATTACTTTTAATTGTAGCCTCATTCTTCCGTGTTCATTGTTGCAGAAATTACAATTCCCTTTTGTTCATTAAATAATTTTAATGAATTACCACTAAACTTTCTTTTCCAGAATAACGTGACCTTATTTGTCACCGCCTTTTTTGCCCGTATAAATTTTATTATATTTTGCCCCTCTTTTTGGTTCGTGCATACAAACTCACATTTGTTCACACTCATACCAGGACGCAAATAAAATAAAATATTCTTCTCCCTAATAGTTTCATTTTGGTCCAGTCAAGGTCTGTACACTGGGAATTTCTAAGTAGTCAATTTCTTTACTGGAACTTATTTATGATTTAACTATAGAGAGATGAAAGTGTTGAGATTGTCGTTTCAGGTCATTATTATATATTTATTGTACGTGTCACGTTAAAAATGTGAGCAAATAAATGTATTTATTTCCCCCACAGAGCAATGGGTCGGTATTGTATATATATCACATGTGTTACGTTCAAAATATGAGCAAATAAATGTATTTATTTCCCAGACAGAGCAATGGGTCGGTATTGTATATATATCACATGTGTTACGTTCAAAATATGAGCAAATAAATGTATTTATTTCCCCACACAGGTCTCTTATACACACT